TAAAAACCCTTGATATTTGATAAGCGAGCATTATACAATAAATGTGCCCGGCACAAATCACGTAATCCTAGATGACATAAAACTCATATCGCAGGGCGCCGTACCGGCCATACAGTTGGCCCACGCGGGCCGTAAGGGTAGCACTCCAGTCATAGGGAAAGGTGTTAGGGGGGAGACGTTAACGGCTAAGAATGGGGGCTGGGATATCGTGGCTCCCAGTGCCATAGCCTATAACGACGACAAGTCTCAAGTGCCCAAAGAGGCCACTCTGGAGGACATCGAAGTACTGCAGAAAGCCTTTGTAACGGCGGCCATACGTGCGGTTAAGGCTGGCTTTGAGGTACGGGTGCTTTGTTTTTATATTATTTTTTTACTAGAATTTAATTATTTTCTTCAAAATTGTTAGTTACTTAGGAAAATAAAAATTATATTTTAAAAGTAGTCTCAACAGGTCGAAGTACCATTAAATTAGATTGCGAGTTAATTAGTCATGGTTATTTATATGTAGTTATTTTGTGACAGATTTATGCATACAATTTGTTAGAGATTTAAATAATGAATATCAAATCTTACGAGCTCCGTTAAAACTATTTATATTTACATTAAATAATTAATTATAACACATTTAATTAGTTAATTGCAATAATGGTTAGATAGTTTCCTAAAAAATGATAAATATACTTTATAAAATGTTAACTGTTTGTGTTGTATTTGTGTTAGGTTAACTTATCCATGTGAAGTTATTGTGTTACAGTTTCAATTAAAATTTTAAATGCTTATATTTTGTTACATTGTAAAATGAATATTAAATTTTAAGAGTATTAGCAAAACTATTTTATAATATATACATTAAATTATAAATTATAATATAACATATTAGTTAATTGTAATGCTATTAAAGCACATGCAAATTCAAAGTATGTGTAGATAAGTAAATAAGATATTATAATCAATTAAGTTTTAATGTAAATATTACCTAGATAGTAAATTATTTTATAATATTTAAACTTAAACATCCATTACAGGCAATTGAGTTGCACTTCGCCCACGGCTTCCTGGGCAGCACATGGCTGTCCCCACTCTCAAACACGCGGACCGACAGATACGGCGGTTCACTGGAAAACCGAATGCGCTTCGGGTTAGAGACGGCACACAGAGTGCGGAAAGTCATCCCTAAAGAGACTCCACTTTTGGTACGTATTTCGGTCACCGATTACGACAATGGGGGATGGGATGTGACACAGAGTGTGGAGTTCGCCAAACGGCTGAAGGCTATCGGCGTCGATGTCGTGGACTGTAGTTCCGGTGGAGTCTTCGGAAACGTAGACTACGGGTCCTTAAATACGGCGGAAGTGCAGCACAAAGCGGCCGCTACTATACAACGAGAGGCCGGTATCCCGACGGCAGCCGTCGGCAATATAGTGCATCCCTTTCAGGCGGAAAAGCTGTTGCAGGATAACAGTGCGACCCTTATATTGATCGGTAGGGCGTTCCTCAATAACCCCCACTGGGCTTATGGTGCGGCCGACGTGTTGGCAAACCCCGAGACCTTTAAATATCCCGAACCCTACGACTGGTGTATCGGTTGGACAGGCTTTTATAAGTGGCGACAGAACTTACTTACGGATCAAAACAATAATTAAATTATAATATATTACAATATATTTATATTTATTGTATTTCGTTGTTATTTATGATATAATACTTAAAATAAAATGTTTTACTTAACGTTGAAATATACTGTATTCTATTATATTTCCAATTAATGTTAATGTTTCTTAAATAGCAATCATATTGCTTTCAGTATTGCTTCAGGGTATAAGTGGTTAATTAAAAATTTAAAAATGTCAAATATATTCTAATCTATATTTTAGTTTAGATTAATTTTTAAAACCTTTATAAGCATTATAATGTACAAAAAATGTAAATAATTATTTAGAAAGCTTACTGCTAGATTTGCCACAAATATAATGTAGATAATGTTTTAATATTATTTTTGTGATAGAATTAAATTGTTACAGTTTCATTTAGTTTATTTAATATAAAAATACAATTATTTTAAATAAAGCCATGATAGGTGAAATTTAAATTTTGTAAAAATTAATATAATAAAATAACATTTTGATTAAAAATATAATGTGCTGGATATTAAAACATGGTATCAACTTTGCGTTTATATAACTATTAAATTTTTTAACAATCATACACCATCATATGAAACCCCATTTTCATATCATATACTAAATAATAGTATGCTAGCATAATATATTCATGCAATTCAATTTCATTTAAAAAATAGTTTAGTATAATGTTTTAAACTACATAATATTAAATGTCATTACATGAATAAAATGAAATAAAGTGGTGCATGCGGTGCATGCGGTGCACGCGGTACTAGCGGTGCAAGCGGTGCAAAGAAGTCAGTACCAGGCAATTTAGATAAAGTACTTCACACACGTGAAAATGTAACCTTGATAAACCATTAACAAGTAGTGGATAGATGCAATAGATATAAAGCTTATTGCATAACATAATAATAACTACATACCTCAAATCACGTAATCCAGATAAAACTTTAAAGTGCTTTGAGCATACTATGTACTCATATACACCGTAATGTACTTGAGATTTTAAGTAATTTATATACTGGTATTATAAATTAAATCAATATAAAAATAGTAGTCACTTACATTTAAATAGATACTTGTGCCACGTAGGAATACCATTATTTATTAAATTATTTACAAAGTTACTTATTTTTAACACATATTTATAACTATATATAAAAAACAATACGATGAGTGTAGGCGCTAAACAGTCATCCCTACTGTTCAGTCCAGTGACAATCAATGGCATAACCCTCAAGAACCGCATCGGTGTGTCCCCTATGGTCACGTGGGTGTCGGAGGACGGGTATGTCAACGACTTTCAACTGGCGCACTACGGCTCGTTCGCCATCGGAGGGGTCGGCCTAATAGTAGTGGAGG